ATTATAATTGTTTGAATTTTAATTACTAAAATTGAAAATAAAAAATCAAATTTATACTAAACAAAACAATAGTTGTTGATTGTTATTTTCTTTCTGACTATTCAATTATGTGGTCTCCAAGTTTGTCCACAACTATTTTCGGAAATGGGATTTTACATGACTTTTCATTTATGTAGGATTAATTCGCCATTGGATTGAAGGAAGACGCAGTTTCGTGAGAAAGAGGGAAAAAAATGTTTCATTTTTTTAAAGTAAAAAGATGAAGGTGATTCATTTTTTAGAGAGAAGAAAATGCATTTTTATTTAATGTGGAGAAACTAAAAATAAAAATAAAAAGATAAATGTCCCTTTGTTTGTGTTAAGTATAGAAATAAGAAACTTGTGAGTTAAATACAAGGAGGGCTACTTCACCTATTGCCAATTGATTTTAAGTTGGATGCAAATCTTGTGTTGAACCCACATGCAAGACTTTCAATATGGTATCAGAGGCCAGGTTCTACTTTGGGAAGCTCATTGTTAGCCCACCTGACAGGACTCGAAGTTGAAGATACCGAACCTGCATTTAAGGGGACGTATTAACCCACGTAACAAGACCTGACATTCATAGCGGGCCTGCATATGAGGGGGTGTGTTAAGTGGGAAAATCCCACATCAAGTATAAAAATAAAAAGTTTGTAAGTTAAATACAAGAAGAGCTACTCCACCTATTGCCGATCGGTTTTAATTTGGATGCAAACCTTGTGTTGAGCTCACATATAAGATTTTCAATAGTTTGAGGCCCTTGTTGGTTGGGCTACAATATGAATGGTCAGACCTTTTCAAGTCAACTGAGCCAGTGATATATCTTTGTGCTTTGTTTAAAGCGATCAAGTTTATTATTTAATTGCCCATCACCTAAATAGCTTAAAGGTAAAATAAGAGACTTTAAATTTAAATCATAAGGCATATGTGTGAAATAAATTAAAAAATTAAAAAAATTATTTTTTATCTTACAATTTATGATTAAAAAATTATTATTTAACTTTTTATAACAACCGAATGAGTTAAAAGTGAATTTATATTGATGTAAATTACATGATATTTATGTCATTTAATAATTTTTTATAATTTTTATTTTTAAACTAATCATTAGATTTGATGTTTTATTTGTATAAATTAGGTTACATTAAATTTGAATGTAATTGGATATATTTAATTATTTTATTATAATACACAATTTTATATTATTAAATACTTAATAAAAAATATAATTTTTCATTTGTATAGTTAACAAATATTTGAAAATTTTAAAATTTGATATATATGATTTACACAAATAAAACATTAAATTCAATAATTAATTTGACAAAATAGTAAGTAACGGAGAATTATTGACTAGTACAAAATATGATAGTTATATTAATTAATATAAAGTTGATCTTAAGTTCAAATAAATTAAATAAGTTGAACAGCCTTCTTCAGTTCAGTGATATGGACCCTGAGTTAGGGTCGTTCACCTCCTATAAGTGACGTGTTCGAACCCCACAAATCCTCTTTCTCTTTCCCCCAATTAATACATGTAAATAATTTTAATTTACTCAAAAAAGATAAATTAAATAAGTTAAACATCAAAAAATAAATTAATTCATTAAATAAGGTATGAATGTAGGAGAATATTCTAAGAAAGAACTTGAGCTTCCAGCTTTGACCACTTCGAAAGTGTTTTAGTTGAGAGGACTTGATATTCCTATTCAATTATACTTTCTAAATTAGTTAGCTACTTATTTTTAATATTGTAATTTTTTTTTATTTATCTATGGTCAATTAATTACGTAATTTTACTTCTAGAAAAATTTAATATTCCTTTTAGTGGTCAATTAATTGTGTAGTTCTTACTACTAGAAAATTTTGGTATTCCTTTTAGTCATAGACTTTATGATAAATGACACTTTGAGTGAAAAATTAAGAAACAAAGATAAGAGAATGCTAAAAAGTCTTTATACTATAAGGCAAAAGTCTTCTTAGTAGAAGAAATTAAAGAGATTGTTGATAAGTCTTTATACTAGAAGACAAAAGTCTTCTTAGTGGAAGAAATTAGAGAGATTGTGATCGATTAACCCATTTTAGAATATGTTTGGTTAAAGAGGATAGGATTTGAGATTCCAATCCAACTATATATTCTTTAAATTAGCTAGCTACTTATTTCCAACATTGCAATTTCTAATTTAGACTTGTATTGATCAATGATCAACTAATTGCGTAGTCCTTACTACTAGAAAAATTTGGCATTCTTTTCAGTTAGAGACTTTGTGATAAATGACACTTTGAGTGGAAAATTAAGAAATAAAGGTAAGAGAATGCTAAAATGTATTTATGCTAGAAAACAAAGGTCTTCTTAGTTGAAGAAATTAAAGAGATTGCGATAGATAAACCCATTTTAGAGTATGTTTTGTTAAAGAGGAAAGGATTTGAGATTCCAATCCAACTATTTTCTTTAAATTAGCTAGCTACTTATTTCTAGCATTGAAATTTTTATTTTTAGCATTGAAATTTTTATTTTAGACTTGTATTTATCAACGATCTACTAACTGCATAGTCCTTATTGCTAAAAAAAATTAGGCATTCCTTTCAATCACAAACTTTGTGATGAACAACACTTTGAGTGGAAAATTAAGAAACAAAGATAAGAGAATACTAAAAGGTCTTTATGCTAGATGAAAAAGGTCTTCATGCTAGATGACAAAGGTCTTCTTAATGGAAGAAATTAAAGAGACTACAACAGATAAACCCATTTTAGAGTATGTTTGGTTAAAGAGGAAAGGATTTGAGGTTCCATTCCATCTATATTATTTAAATTAGCTAACTACTTATTTCTAGCACTTAAATTTATTTTCTAGACTTGTATTTATCAACAATCAACTAACTGCATAGTCCTTACTGCTAGAAAAATTTGGCATTCCTTTCAGTCACAGACTTTGTGATGAATGACACTTGGAGTGGAAAAATAAGAAATAAAGATAAGAGAATACTAAAGTGTCTTTCTGCTAGAACACAAAGGTCTTCTTAATGGAAGAAATTAAAGAGACCACGATAGATAAACCTATTTTAGAGTATGTTTGGTTAAAGAGGAAAGAATTTGAGATTCCAATCCAACTATATTTTTTAAATTAGCTAGCTACTTATTTCATGCATTAGAATTTCTTTTCTAGACTTGTGTTTATTAGCAGTCAACTAATTGCATAGTCCTTACTACTAGAAAAAATTGGCATTCCTTTTAGTTGCAAACTTTGTCATAAATGATACTTGGAGCGAAAAATTAAGAAATAAAAATAAAAGAATGCTAAAAAGTCTTTATGCTAAAAGACAAAAAACTTCATAGTAGAAGAAATTAAACAGATTGTGATTGATAAATTTTTTTTCGAGTATGTTTGGTTTAAGGGAAATGGAGGAAAGGAGATCGAAGGGAAGAGATGAGCTTTTTAACTAATCAAATTATGACATTTTAATATTACCATTTGATTGAACAAAGAATTCATCCCATCCCTTTTCTTCCCTCAAACCAACCATATTCTTATTATCCTTATTAGTCTTTAGAATCTACAATATTCAAGCTACTTCTCTGTTTATAATCCTATAGATCAAGATCAACTAGAAGAAATTATTGCATGTTTTTTTTATCTTCACCTTCTTACCCCTCAAAGAAATTAAAAAAAAAAAGGATAAAGATAAACTACAGAGAAATGCAAATAAGGTCATTCATTTGAAAATTGATTACTAGAAGTAATATCAATTCTTGCTTTGAAATTTTTTCAAGACCATCCCAACAAAGACTCTTTTGCATCAATTGAATCATCATATATAAATTCTTTTAAAATAGCATTTGTCATGAACCTACAATGAAAAAGATTTTACAACAAAAGGTTAACAAATGATTAATTCTCAAAGAAGGCCACAAATTAAGAAGGGAACAAAATAAAGGCTCAGTAGGAGGAATTTGAGGCCTTCAACCTCAAGATTGTGCATAGAAAAAATAGGCATGCCTTATAAATTATTATGGCTTAAGTATTAGAAAAGGACCCCAACTTTTATTAAAATCTTAATTAAGGTCCTTAATGTTTATTGCGCTCAATCAAGAACTTGAACTCATATAAACTCTCAAATAAGGACCCAATTGGATGGAATCTTAACCATCTGTCAATTCTCAAGTGATCGTCCGTTGTAGTCCGTTATCCCTCAACACGTGGCATGCCAACTAGACTCATAAGGCCAATAGTAAAAAAATGTTTTCCAATGTGGAATGTTGGGTGGGATCCCACAACATCTTTTTCTCACATCTCTCTTCTTCTTTCCTATTCCACATTTTGGGGGTGAAATCCCTAGGATTTTCAGTCGGCCCCTCTTCATGCCAGATCTTCTTCAATAAGTGAAAAAGAATAAAAAAAAGTGATAAATTAAATAAATTAACAAAACAAAAATAAAGAAATCACGTGCAATTAAGACAAATTCAAAAATCATAAAAATATTAAAGTAATTCAACAACTCAAATAAAATTTCATGATCATACCTATATACTGTTAAATCCACATATAAATGTGAAAAAAAATTGTTAAAAGACTACACCAAGTAATAAAAACCTCAAATTGACTTTTGAAATTTTCAAAAATCCTTTTCTATTGATGCGTTTGCAGGCAAATATTTTAAGTTTCTATATCATATTAAAAAGGTGTTGAATAGTCAAAGATGGAAAAGGAGAGTAGGAAAAGGAGTCTTATGGGATCCATCAGGTATGTGGAGGGAAAGATACTGCCCAACATGCCACGTTGAAATTTTTTTTTTCACTATTTAGCCTTGTGGATCCAGTTGGCATGCCATATATTAAGGGGGTAACAAACCACAACAAACGGTCATGTGAGAATTGACGGATGGTTAAGATTCCATCCAATTGGATCCTTATTTGAGAGTTTGTATGAGTTTAAGACTTTGATTGAGCACAATAAACGTTAAGGACTTCAATTGAGAATTTAGTAAAAGTTGGGATCCTTTTCCAATGCTTAAGCCAATTATTATTGACATCAACTCTAATGTACATCTATCCAACTTTTGCAAATTAAATACTTAACCTATATGTTGTGCATAGGAAAGCAAGCATCCCTTTGCTAGTACTTTTTCCTTTACTAAGCATCTCTACTGAATCTCATGATTGAATCTCTCTTCTTGGCTTTGTATTCAGTGACCTCTTTTTTTAACCTATACATTTTGCATTCTTTCTTTCTGTTTTTATCTTTTGAGAAAATAATTGATGCAAAAGGGCTTTTATTGTTGAAAATTTTTATGTGGGTTGCTGCTAATTGTATTTGGTTTTCAAAAATTGGGTCAAATGGGAAAACTGATAAAACCCAATAAAGTAATGTGATCCAAGTGGGTCTAGGTTTTATCTCAATTTTATATGGTGTGATATGAATAAGTGTAAGACCTAGAATTAAAGGTGTGCTACATGATGGGAATGCTCAAAATATTATTATAATGGGCTAGGACCCCTCTCCCATTCAAAAACCCTACCTCTACAAATAAGAGAGTTAGAGAGTGGCATAACCAATTGGTTGTCACTATACAGAAGTTGATTAGGGAGAGGAAGATCTAAATCCCAATATTAACCATATTTGTTTTGTAGGTTTTGTTATGAGATCCCTAATCATAATGATTCTTGAACATCCTTGAAAATTCTTAGGTAATATATTGATTTAGGAGATCTAGGTACGCAATGTATTTATTATATTAGATCTTGATATCCTAAATTCTACGTATGTCATCCTTAAAATTCTAACATTTATAACTTGACCTGTAAATTTCAGTTTTCATATCTTTCTAGCTTCTTCAGAAAGAAAAGCACAGTGTTTATTGAATATTTCAGGTAGATGTGATCTTCTGCTAGGAAAAAATACCTTCCTTATGAGATAAAATGATACTAGTTACTGTGCTCTAGCTTGTGCTTTAAAATTCACTTGCCTGATTATTATGCAAAGCTGGTTTCATTTTGCTAGAACTATCTGAGCAGACTTCTTTACATGAATTTGCCTCTTTCTTCAGGATTGGCTTTGAGGAGGACATACAAGAACTTCCATGTTGTTCTAAATTCTGCCATAGCAGGGCGCTGTCATGTTACTAAGTTTCTTGGATCTGCTGCATTCAGCAAAGCCATGCAGGCACATGACCTGCATACGGGCACGGATGTTTGTGTGAAAATCATAAAGAACAACAAGGATTTTTTTATCAAAGTCTCGATGAGATAAGGCTTCTCAAGTATGTCAACAAGCATGATCCTGCTGATAAGTACCATATTCTCCGGCTGTATGATTACTTCTACTACCGGGTAAGTGAATAAATGGGTGTTGCTGTGGAACATAAATTTGTGGTGGCAGATATTTGACTTCTTTCAATGCAGTAGTGCTATTTAGCTAGTTCTACAGTAGATTCTTTCGCGTTTGGTGGTTTCTATTCAATTATTTCAAGTGTTTCCACACATGTCAGTTTATGACAAGTTCTGATTTAAGTAAAAGCTGAATTTCCTTTATTTTTAAGGAACATTTGTTAATTGTATGTGAACTTCTCAAGGCAAACTTATACGAGTTTCATAAATTTAATAAAGAATCAAGGGGTGAGGTTTATTTAACAATGCCAAGATTACAAGTATGGTAGTATCATATTGCAATGAGCTTCTAATTGATATGTCCTGATATTTTCTCATTCCTTCAAAATGTTCAATGCAGTCAATTACCATTCAATGTTTGGAGGCACTTCAATTTTTGCATGGTCTTTGTCTTATACGTTGTGATCTAAAGCCTGAAAATATATTAGTGAAAAGCTACAGTAGATGTGAGGTCAAGGTCATTGATCTTGGGAGCAGCTATTTTGGGACAGATCATCTATGTTCTTATGTTCAATCCAAGTCGTATCGTGCACCAGAGGTTATCCTGGGGCTTCCATATGATAAGAAGATAGACATCTAGTCGCTTGGCTGCATCTTGGCTGAACTTTGCACTGGCAATGTAAGTTTTAACATGTGAATTAAGAGATGCCTAGAATTCAGCTAGACTCCTGTATCTCATGCCAATCTATATCACTTGAAACTATTGCAACTGATCACTTTGATGGTATCAATGAAACATTGGTGTAGGTCCTTTTCCAAAATGATTCACCAGCAACATTACTTGCAAGGGTTATTGGGATCATTTGTCCCATTGATCAAGACATGCTTGCCAAGGATGTGATACATACAAATATTTCACTAAAAATCACATGCTTTATGAGCGTAATCTAGTAACTATCTTTTTTATACTATATTTGCTTTTGTGTCCATGAGGCAGTGATGTATAGAAGTTGTAAACTTGTGATATGCTTGGTTATGACAGTATTCATATTACCAGTTGAGACAAGATACTACATTATTATTAGTAATTAAGTAATTGTGGTAGAACATTGCATTGGACTTAATTATGCTACAGCATCTAAATAATCACATCATTGTATTTTAGTTTCAGTGTCCTAGTGTTGGATTATTTCTTTACCAAAGCTTTTGACATGT